CTATTCGACAGAACATGAACATCGATCAGTAACCATATCGACAATATATCATTTTTATCAGATGATCAGTTATTCAATTTTCAAATTAATATGGTTATTTGCTTGTTATTTAAAATCGCACTCAGCAAGTTTTCAGCTATATGACGCGGTCCGTGAATAATTAAGTCTGGACCAGAACCAGTGATTGACATCATGAGCATACATCTACAGAATTGGGATACGATGACATGTATCAACCAAGTCAGCGAGCCTGATCACTGATCCATCTGGTCGCCTCTTACGACACGCATGGAATGTAGAAGACCAGTTTTGACCCGGATGTTCATGGGTCAGTGTTAATAGAACACCCTTATGTGTTATGACGCCGAATACCAGTGTGGTTTCCAACACATGTATGCCATACACATCTAACTCCTGTTCAAACATATCTGGGTAAATCCTTAATGAGAGGGCGGCGAAGTTCCAAATTAATGACACAAAATGTCATGCATATTGATTATATCGGACCAAGAGATAAGACTAATTTTTATTCGCAGCATGAATACAGTCTATTCCCCTGTCAACACAAACCAGCCTTTGCAAGACTGAACGTGTAATGCCGAATAACATTAACACCGGGTCCGCTCTATAAGACGCTACAAACTTGTTGCAAATGCTACACGTAAAGGCGAAATAATATAAATGTTACGATTACTAAGTGGCTGTAGTTGGTTTTGTTTTACGCCGCACTCCAATATAGCAATATTCCAGCTATATGGCAGCGGTCTGTAAATAATCTGGACCAGTGATCAACATCATGAGCATCGATCTACGCATTGGGTCACGATGACATGTTACAAGAAAGTGCATAGTTGCAAATGTTGAAACGGTTAGCTGTTTGGAAAAACGGTACAAAGCGCTAAATGCAATATTCTCATTGACCAAAGACACATATTCTCAGAAAAAACAAACTGTTACAATATTTACCAATTCTTCAACCTGCAAGTCTCCTGTCAACTTTCTAAACGTCATCCTCTGTTGGAACTACACTATAAGGCTTCTGTGTACTGCCACAGTGTATATCATTGAAGTGAAGATGTGGTTTAGAAGAAGTGTAAATGTTTACTTTTAGGTATAGCCCCCCTATTATCTAGCTGCTTGAGAAGCAAGTTCAAAAGGTACATTAAACCAATGTACCCATACGTAACCCACTCTATATAACTTGACTTATGTAAGACGTCGACCACATTTACCAAACAATGATATGCGGGAACAAGTCTACTCGAGTGGTCTGTGATAATGGAACAGGTATGGAGGCACTATATGAAAGTTCCTCGGCTTTAGCACAAGCAATAACATCGACTCTTCAAGTGACAGCACGTGTGTGGAGATATCGTCCACTCGATTATTACAATCATTACAATAGCGCCAGGGAAATGTAACGCTCCACTGACCAAAATAGATGAGTCCAAGAAAAATAAGCATCACACTCAGCAAGATAACAAGCACATATTATCACATTAAATAATTAAAATGTACATAACTATTATATTAAACTTGAAGAAAAATTTGGAAATTTGAGGCCATCTTGGTAAAATGACAGACATCTTGGATTTTCGATGGATAACGTTTTTCCTAAAATTTTCCACCAACTGTCAGACCTTGCATAGTCCTGTTTGTATAATAACAGGACGTTATGTAATAGTAGTATCAAACTTGTATAACGTTTACATTGGCTACGAGGTGGATTATTCTGGTAGTATGACTCGTCAAGTTGTCAAATCTGTAGCGTTTTGAGAATGCCTTCTAGCGTGGAGCTTAGCGCATAACAAATGGGCTCACTGTTATTTTTGGTTAGGTCATTGTTAGGTTTGTTGACTTTGTTTCTGAGATGATACGACGAGACAAGCGAGACAATTTCTGACAATTAATGGTGTGCAATGCCAGAATTCATGGACAGATACAATAAACTACGCATATACCGAACTGAATTTGTCTTATTCAGCGGGCTGTGTATAATAGTCGAACTGCTTATAATGAACTATGGTTATGACGAACTAAAATTAGCGTTCCCTTCAAGTTCGTAATGGCCGTAGATTACAGTACTTTCAAAGGGTAAAATATGCAGGTAGAATGGTAGAAAACACGCATTTCAACTTCAAACAGTTTGAGAGGAAATCCATATCGAAAAGGAATACATTGGATGGTTGTCGTGAGGCTGAAACAAGCTTGTCAACAATGATCACGAGGACTGACTGACTGAGTTTAGTTTTACGCCGCTTTTAGCAATATTCCAGCAACATCACGGCGGGGGACACCAGAAATGGGCTTAACACATTGTGCCCATGTGGGGAATCGAACCCGGGTCTTCGGCGTGACGAGCCAACGCTTTAACCACTAGGCTACCCCACCGCCCCTGATCACGAGGAGACGACATGTCATATGTAAACGTAACTGGCATACAATATGAAACATTGAATGTCAAAGTGTGCACGTTACATTGTATAACAGTAGAGGTTATGATTCGTGAGGAATAGACAACAGCTGTATAACATGTATGTGGGTTGTTCTACTCAAGTCTACCCGTGGAAGCTTGTAAATTAAGCTGTATGTGAGTGAGTGAGTATGGGTTTACACCGCTTTTAGCAATATTCCAGCAACATCACGGTGGGGGGACACCAGAAATGGGCTTCACACATTGTACCCATTTGGGGAATCGAACCCGTGTCTTCAGCGTGACGAGCGAACGCTTTAACCACTAGGCTACCCCACCGCCGCTAAGTCTGTATGTATGTTTATAAGACGGGTATATGGATGGCAACTTCTTCTTTATTGTATGTTTCAAGAAGAATGAAATTAGGTATACACAAAACCATTTGATTCTAACTCTGAACACATACCTTGGTGCCAGATCCTTGTGACGACTCAGACTGTTGATGTGCTAACGGCCGTCTATGTTCCAACCGACGACGAAACCGAACCATGGTTCTGACACATGATCTCAAAGCCTTGATGGTCATTGCTGCTCTATAAACTCTGCACAGCACGTGCTGTCAACCGTATTGACCGTGGTATAAAATATGTTCCTCGTTATTCTTAACGTCCTGACAGAGATAAATGTGCAACTTCCAACGTATCTGGGTACATATTGTTACAGCCAACGAGAATTGGAAATCACGACTGCGCAAACGAAGTCAGAAGACCAAGCCATGTGGAGAGAAACAGTCACGGGTAATCTCACCTTAAAACCAAAGATGACAGAATATCACTACGATTAATACAATTCTAACATATGGAAAACGGTATTATACTATGCCGTGACCATTTGTCGATTCTTAAGCTCCTCGAAACTGAACTATCTTGTAAATAATCCGACAACACATGAATTATCAGCACCTTTCCCGATGGAAGGTCTCCAAGAATCTGAGGTGACAGCTCATCTGTCAGTACCTGTACCTTTTCTGATAATCAAGCCAGGACCGAACGTTTTGTACCGGCTAGTAATCAATGTCTTTTACGAGGCGTCAATTACCATATCTGCATACAAATAGCTGTTTAGTTGCCAATAGCTTGGGGTTTCAGTGCCAAAAGGAAATCAGTTTGCCCTTGCTGTGTTCTAAACCACCCACAGCCTAGTCCTGAAAAACCTAATCGATATTGATAATAATTGGCGTTAGGACATTCTTTGAAAAAATGTTTCAAAAAACAAACAGTCAGTGGAATATTGGGTCGTTTTATTTATCAATACTTACAATGCAACAGGGCCATATCGCATTATTTATTGTGACAGTATAACAGTTAAGAACCATTCAAGTGTATGAGATTTGCAGCCTTCACACCATGACACAATACAACACAATAATAAAGGACACAGGAGATCACCCCGCCTTACACCGTGAACACTAACTATAATCAATATATCGGATCTAAGTCATGTTGTGAAGAATCAAGCGTTGAACTTTGGATATTTCTGTAATGTCAGTATATAAAATTCTATTATCCAGTATATTAGACACGGGATACCTGGAGAGGTTAATTTGGGGTAATGATCTACGGTCGACCTGTCGGTGTTCAATAACACAGTGTGATCATTTTTCAATCTATCCCACCCGTTGACGAATGGATAAGTGCGTTATTAATGAGGTTTATTCGCATTAACAGGGCAACATTCCGGTTGTTGAAATGATCTGTGAACTCTGGGGTGAATTCTGTTGATGACTTGCGAACATTTTTATTAATCTGTGCCTTGTACTACAAGCGGATATCATACGCCATGGAAGCACCAGTACATATCTTGAAACACACGGTTTCCTAATGTTATTACATTGTCTAATTAAGTACACGTACATTATTTGCCTGCTAGGTTTTCTCTTTGTCTGAGACCCGTGAAGACCCGGGTTAGAATTGATCTTCAGTAACCCACGCTTGTCGTAAGAGGGGACCAAGGGGATCGGGTGGCCAGGCTCGCTGACTTGGTTGACACATGTCATCGTATCCCAATTACGTAGATCGGTGCTCATGCTTGTTGATCTGGTCCAGACTCGATTATATACAGACCGCCGCCATATAGCTAGTGTGGCGCAAAACTAAACTCACTCACTCTCTTAGTCTGTTGTCAGCTGGTGTAGTTTGATGTCTAATGTCACTGTCCTGCTGTCGGCGGGTCTAATGTCCGCGTTCCTTACTGTCAAATGTCAGCCTATTGTACTTTTTGGTCTTATATCGATGTTCTGTACTGTGTAACGCTATTCCTTTGATCATTCCAGTGTTATCGTCATGTATTCGGTGGTCTAATATACTTGATGTTTGATAAATGGTCGAAAGCAATGTATGAAATGCCCTTGTGGTCTGAGGTTTGCATGTGTCTGGTACCTAACGTTGTATTTCCTCTTCCATCATCACTCGAATGCTGTTCAACTTATTGAAACTGTTGAACTTTGTACCATCCGTCAAAGAACAAATCACAGGACATGACCATGACGAAAGGAGGGTAACAGAAGCAGCTTTAACGCCAGCCTTACCTTGACAGGCTCCAGAGTTGGTCGCCATCTTTCCCTACTCTCGTGCTTGCCATGCTGCGTGTGCTTGACATTCTGTGAATAGGAAACTAGTTTAACTTCGTTGATAACAAACAGCAACTTGTTGAATACATCTACAAACGACAAACAATACAAACCGCTTCAGGTGGGACTGATTTTCTCCGCCCAGAGATACGAGATCTGATTTGAGTAATCTGTTCCAAGATGGCCGCTTCAGCAGCAGACATGCTTCTTTCGTCCCTGGCTCTCCCCATCCTCCGATGAATGATGGGAAGAAGATTCTCCCTCGGTTTGTTCATTTTCTTTAAGCAAGGAACGCCACAGGTTTCTCTATCAGACCAAAATAACCTGGGTTCGACAGAGGGCAAGTCTTGTCACCAACCACACCTCAATCAAATTAGTACAGAGAATTTAAAGACAAACTCGTCGTCTCGTGGTTTGAAGGTCTGCGGTTTCATTGGCTGGTCCCAAACGAAGCAACTCATTTCTGTTCATGACCATACTTACATGAACTCCACCCTATATTCGTCATTTATAAAAAAAATTCTCAACATTTCTCCTATTTCTCCCGTTTCTTTGAGAGTCTTTCGATTTTCTGTATATATCCTCTAATTTCATATATCGTCGAATCTCCTTCAATTCTCCTCGGATATCCTTGAACTTCGTCATATATTCCTTGAATATATTCCAGTACACCTCATATATCCTTGAATGTACCCCAATGTAACTCATGCATCCTTGATTTTACTCCATTCCGCATATATCCTTGAATCGAAGATATGCATTCTCCCTGAATGAGTCATTGGTGAAGTCAAAAGAGGAAATTTTCGATGAAAGTGTATCCGAGAAGATCGTCAAACACCCGACATATTTGACAGCCACTGACAGCCAACAGACAGAATGTAACAGCGATAATAGATAGTACGGCTACAAAATGCACATGCACGTCTAGAGCCCCTCATGTCTGTCGACTGCCACAACAGATATGTTTAGTCAGGTCCACCTAAAATAAATGCTACCGTGTAATCTTAAATATGCCTTCACTTGATTACAATATCACCTGCACGACTATTAGACCAATACGTGACCTGTCAGTGGTCAGTCTTGAATTGGGCCTACACCACTCGAACCACGTGTCCATTCAGAAAGGTGTGTCTGTCGTGAGCGCTTGTCAGTTGTGTAGCGAGGTGAAATTATAGCGAATGTGAAACCGTTAGGTATTGTTATCTGTTCTCAATATCAAATAAATGACAGAGCAGATATCTTCAGATATATTAAACCGGGTTGATCTTAGTCAATACCGATTAATCTTTTGTTCGCCTCTTATCGTGCTTGGTACTAATTTCCATCCAACATGTCGACAAGCATGTCTATGTTGTATGATTGATTATAAGTGAAATTCCTTCCTGATTTATTGAAGCTGCGCGGCTAAATTTTATTTTTAAAATATACATATCATAAAATTATTTTTAATGTGTTTAGTGGTTTGGCGTGCGAATGTTGGGTAGCCTGGTGGATAAAGTGTTCGCTTATAGTACCGGAGACTCTGGTTCGATTCTCCATATGGACACATATCAAACCTATTTCTTACATCTCGTGTCGTGATCCTGCCGTAACGCTGACCGAGTACGAACAGTTCGGTGGGGGTGGGGGAAGGGGCAGTTTTGCTCCGTTGTCACATTGTGTCCTGCTGTGATCGAACTGGATGTTCGGCGCGATGGGCGAACACTTTATCTACTTAGCTACAATAACATTCAGAAATTACTACTGTTTACACTGATACGGAATTACCAGGGCCTTTTGTGTCTAACAGGTTTTAAACTGTAAAAGATGCCAATACAAATGACGATTTATGCTTTTGTTTTATCTATGAAATTGAGCGAGTGAGTTTATCAACGCTTGGAACAGTATTTCAAATGTACAACGGCGTTTCAGCGTCACGTGGGAGGAGATTCCGAAGTGAATCCGTTCACTCCCCTATAGCACAGGCAGGTATGGAAACATATGAACCTATTGAACCTGGAAACATGATCAAAGCGAATCTGTTATTTGAACTATTATCAACGTATTCTGGCACGCCAAGGGGAGGCAACTCGGAACAGCCAATTGTGGCGTCTTTGCCACTGGCAAACTGTCTTCTGCAAGTACCCGCGATAAGCACAGAAAGGCAACTGGCTGATCCATCCGAGTTACCATGAAAGTTACATTTATGTGAAAAACAATAATGCGTCAGGAATGACTCCTATGAAAAATTTATCAAATTAGAAGGAAATACTCATAATAATAATAATAATAACCCTGCAGCTACAAATTCCACCATACTGTTCAGTATTTCACAATATCCTCATCTTTCTGCATGCGGTGTCTGCTTGTCTATCTATCTAAATTTCTCCATCACTTGTGACCGGCAGTTGCGGGACGTTGTCCCCAGTTTCCCACAAGCAATCCCCGAGTCTCACGGATATCCCATCTAGTAAGTGCATACAACTGTACCAGGCTTTGCTTCAGGTGCTCCAGGGATGCTCAGGGGATCCCCAGAAGATATTCCAGGTGTTCCTGGGTAGGGGCAACTATTGTGGGAGAAACAACTACACCTACTGCGATAGCGATAGTCCATTATAACATACTATTGCGAGAGCGATAGTCTATTACAACATACTATTGCGAGAGCGATAGTCTACTGCGACCAACTATTGCAATAGTATTGCAATTTTTTCTCTCCTTGAATTGTCTTATTTGAAATCATTTCCCAAATGAATATATAGTTTATATGGAATAAAAACAAGTTGAAGTAGTTTCAGTCTCTTTTAATAACTGACAAGAAACTTGAAACCCAGATCAAGTAAACAGTTAAAACATAAACTCAATGAAGCTGTAAGTCTGAACCCAAACATCCTGTATTTTGTGCTGCGCATATATCAACGGAAGTCAATTACTAAACTATTGATAGTTATACATACTATCGATGCATCAATAGTTTTGCGTTTCTACCATCCATTAATTGTTATTGGAGACTCAATAATTGCAATCCATCGATAGTTTGTTGCATTGTTACATCCCTATCCCAGGAGATGCTCCAGAAGGTGTTCCAGGGGGTGCTCCACAAGATGTTCCAGGGGGTGTTCCACAAGATTATCAAGAACACAAGACACGAAGTGGATGATGAGTACACTTTATTTGCATGTTGCCTAACTCAGCATACAACACCAAGCACTGAAATTAAACATTCTACACACAGACATGGCTCCAGATGTCCCGACTGGTCCTACTAAAGATTTCAACTTGGGAATGCCTGATTCAGAAATAAATATATGGGCTTACACATATTTCAAATCTCCATGGACAATATGCCATTGTGCACAGATTTTCTTTCTACATTTCTATCCAAAGGAAACATCGTAATTGACTTTTGAGTTTCCGCTACACACAACCAAACCAATGGGCTATATGTGCTAAAATATATTTTGATACGGTAGCTCTTGGTATTTGAAAATATATTTAACCTGGACAAATTCAACATTCATCTCCAAAATATTTCCTGTTTCAATCAAGTCATCAGCCATTTAATAAACACTGCAAATTACAGTGTGAAAGGTCACTCAGACTTCCATGTTGGGAACCAGTCATGTTAACCTGCAACCTAGCAACCTTTGATTCAGCATAATAATTGCCCTTGTAGTCACTAAAATCAATTTGTTGTACAGTGCATGGCTGCGATTCGTCACTCACAAATCACAACATCTACAGTGACATTAAGAACACATTGTACTCTTGTAGTTAAGGCAGTTCACAACATACTTGGAATAATTGTGTGGTGTATACACCACCATTTGGTTGTAGAGGCAGTAAGCAATGGTAAGCTTCATAACTTCACCACAATGATTAAACACTTATAATAATGTTAATTTTGCAAATAGAACATGGAGCACATGGGGTTTGTGGTTGGATGAAGGTTCAGAGTTAAAAACTCATAATCAAATATGAGAACCTCAAACCAAGATTTTCACCACATTCCATGCAAAATATATTTGAAACTGATTAAAACAAACTATATCATAACTTATTCCCTTTAAACTGACAAATACTGAAGGCGCAACAACATTGTGAGATTCTTGGAATACATTGCTAGTAGACAGCAAACAAGTGACACCATCAAAGCTTCAAAGAAACCTTGCCCTCAACACCAGTACACATCCAGGCAATATGTTAGAGGGAGATAACTCCAAAAGAACAGTCTCCATCCAACTGTATAACACTTATACCCCACACTTAAACCAACTAGCTACAAAGCACTATTGATGCTCACTGCACCATATACTGAAACAAAGCAGAGCCCCATTCTCTCCTAATCTTTGTTGAACGACAGACAAAATACACTCAAAGACACAACTGAAATGCAACTCAAATGTAATAACCTACTCTAATCTGAAACATTACCAGCAATAACAAACTGGAAATATTAATTGATAAAATGCATAGCATAGTTTTTGGTCACTGCAAACATTAAATACATTCATAAAACTTTACATGCTACAGTATATATGGCATTGTACCTTCAGATTCAGCAATAATTTCTCCATAGTTAACCGACTTACCTGTACATGTCCAATTGTTTGGTAAAAAGCGATATAAAAAATATTTAAACAGCCAAATTTAATAACTGATTTCACCATACCTCAGGAAAATTATGCAAAACTTACATAAACCTATATGAAAATTCTATGGAAATAGAGGCCAAGTCCATGTAAACTACATACACTGATAAGGGTACTAGAAAGGAACAAACAACTGCACTGAAATACACAACAAAGCCTGTGACATACAGTAATCATCAAACACAAAACAAAGTTTCCACATTTTCTGGGGTAAAAATAGTCAACTGAGGTATGTAAGACTGACCGACTGAGTTTGGTTTTACGCCGCTTTTAGCAATATTCCAGCAACATCACGGCAGGGGACACCAGAAATGGGCTTCACACATTATGCCCATGTGGGGATTCGAACCCGGGTCTTCGGCGTGACGAGACAACGCTTTAACTATTAGGCTACCCCACCGCCCCAGGTATGTAAGACTGACTGACTGAGTTTGGTTTTAAGCCGCCTTTAGCAATATTCCAGCAACATCACGGCGGGGGACACCAGAAATGGGCTTCACACATTGTGCCCATGTGGGGATTCGAACCCAGGTCTTCGGCGTGACGAGCCAACACTTTAACCATTAGGCTACCCCATCACCCCAGGTCTGTAAGAAACGTACCAATTCATCACAGATCGATAACAGTCTGGTTTCATATTCCCTCTCGCAGTACTTCTAGTATTAATATTATCAAGGAAAGTAACAGATGTTGTAAGTCAATAAATCGCCATACAGATATGATAGATAGCATCCATAATGACATAACCTAGCTGGCATATCAACAGGGCAGATGTAACTAGTTTGGCAACAAAAAGTCTTAATAGAGTATTTTCTAGATTGAAGAGAAAATCATGCATCAAGTTCCTTGTGGATTAACTTTGTGTAAAACATGCTAAACAACCAGTTTTAGATCAATTTAACATTGTAGAACTGAAACACTTGAAATGAAACATACTAACTTCTGAATAACACCTTATGACTTTTGTTGGTCAACATGCCAATATAGTGTTATCATCTGCACTACTCCTTGTATACGCTACTTTCTTCCATCGCTCATAAATACATAGAGCACATGGTCAGTATGATTGTGACTCATTTCTATTTCAGTCAGGTCTTGAGTGAGTTGGGTTTTATCGCGCTTTTAGCAATATTCCAGCAATATCACGGCAGGGGACACCAGAAGTGGGCTTCACATATTGTGCCCATGTTGGGAATCGAACCCGGGCTTTTGGCATGACAAGCGAACACTGTAACCACTAGGCTACCACACCGCCCCGTCAGGTCTTGAAGCTGTGAAAAGAACAATATGTGAAGCCCATTTCTTGCATACCTTGCCATGATATTGCTAGAAAATTGCTGAAAGCGGTCTAAAACTAAACTCACTCACTCACTCCATCAAAAAACATTGTACAGTTGATTGACACTGAAGCAATGATACTACTGAGTATGTGTGGCTCGAACTGTAAGCGAAGTATTGCTGCTGTGATGAGAGCACTTGCTGGTCTATCACTCTCTGGCTCCCTCTGAGTGTAACCAGGCCATGGCTTGTCTTGTATTGCTGTATGTATTCATGAGTGAGTGAGTCATTTAAAGCCAAATTAAACAGTATGCCAGTCATATCATTTCTTTTCAGCTGAAGGTGGGTGCAAATCCATAATGTCTCAGACATTTACTTCTTCCGTGAAAGCTACTAGCACGGGTTTGGTGCTGACAAACCTGGAAATATGATCAGCGTTACTTTAAGCAGTGTGCGAAATAAGTTTCCAAATTTTGCTAGCCAGTCAGGCTAGCTATGCCTGAAAGTTACTAGCCCACAAGATAATTCACTAGCCCGAAATTTGAATGTAGAAACTAAGCAAAAGATTACAAAATAGATGAGAATAAGATACTGTCGGCATGACAGTTTCATCATTAAGCTGGTATTATGATGAACATTTTTATCAGAGCATAATCTTATTGGTTATAAAAGTGTAGTATAACTTAACAAGTTGGAGAGAGTGATATATTTACAAAAAAATCCAAGAAATTTCACCAGCCATTCAGGCATGTGACTGTGGAGATTTACTGGCCCGACTGGATTTTTACTAGCCACGGGCTAGCGGGCCAGTGGTTATTTTGCACACTGGCTAGAAGTGGAAACCCCAATCACATTTCTGGCAAACCCAAGATCCACAACCCTGCAAAGCAAACTACAGCACCTTAGACAACTGGGCCCTATTCCACAAAGTAATGTTCAGGCTAAGATAGTTTAGGAGAGTCACAGCACTGTCATGTGGGATCCTGCTCCTGTTTTGTCTGTGTTGATGATTGATTGTTGTTTAACACCACACTCAGCAATATTCCAGCCATATGACAGCAGTCTGTAAATAATCAAATCTAGACCAGACAATCCCATGATCAACAGCATGAGCATCGATTAATGCAAGTTGGATACGATGACATGTGTCAACCAAGTCAGCAAGCCTGACCACCCGAACCCGTTAGTCGCCTCTTATGACAAGCAAAGGTTGCTGAATACCAATCCTGACCTGGATCTTCACGGGTCTGTGTTAATGAGTGTAATTAAGATAATGGTGTACACAAGGCAGTGAAGCATCAAGAATGACACAATACATCGGACCTGTTCCTAATACATCGGACTGTTCCTAATACATCGGACCTGTTCCTAATCTAACTCAATCATGTCCAGTTGCGGTTCCAAGAGACACAAGCAAGCATCCAACTATCTCCACACATAAACTGGAAGACTAACATGAGTACATCTGTAGAAGTGATATCATCTAATACTGTCTTGCATGGGTGATTTGTGATTTAAATGCAGTGTGATATCTCGGCAGTGAAATCTGAAAATATGAAGGCAGTCACTCAGGCTAGATGATTTGTACTTCTGATACAATTTCTAATTTCTGAATCACACATGTTACACGTTCAATGAAATCTGAACTAATAAGGAGGCAGTTGGAGCTTTTGATAAACAAAAGAAGTTCTGTGACTTGAGTGTCTTGAATCGTTTTAAATATTGCAGTCATTAGTGACCCGTTATCAACATGGCAGACTTTTACTTAGAAAGGACCAATGGTTCTGCTTAAGCATAATCAAACATTCGTATCATAATGGAAATCCTATAGAATCCATGATCCAAGGGGCATAACTCATCCATCTAAAATGAATTCTTGAAAAACATTTTTTAAGCAAACTTAAAGTCAGAGAACAAAAATTAAACTTCCATATTCATTAAATGAGACAATTACAGGAATGATAAAAATACATATTAAAGCATGAAATACAGTCATATGTACATAGCTCGAAGACTAATCAGATCAGGTCATGGAGAGGACAAGTCATCGTAATCATCACAAGATATCCAGACCTGCCAGCCATTCTTCAGTTTTACCTTTCACCTGTTCTATGTTCCAAACATTATTTCCAAAATATAATACTGACATCAGAAAGGTGATAAGCACTTATTCAAAGACAAGTTTTGGTGAATCTAACTGTCATCATATATTCTGGTCAGCTTCTCATTTATAATAGCCTATTAGCACTTTATCAAATATTAAAGTATGGCACCATTTCCACTGAAACATATTCCAGTAAGTGCTCACCTTGGGGCAGAATCTCCAGAAAAGGAGGGTCACAGGACAAATGGGGTCTCTGTACTTAGTTCAATGAATAGAAAACATTTTCCACAGCTTCAAGATTATTTCATACAGCTAGACCAAGGTGCCTTGCTGGCACGGAGTTGAAATAATGTCCAGACAAACTATTCAGGAATTCCATTCTAAATGTGACCAATGTTGACCAACTTTTCCACTAAACCATATCCTTAAAAGTTAGTGCTGGTTATCCCACACAATATGCAGATCAGTAATGGGTGACTTAAGCAAGATCGATCAATTGACCATTTATTCAATCGATAACTCCAGCAATATTGAAAACGGGAAGATTTAATCATTTTCTATTCCAAAACAGCTTGAAATCACATAACTGCTTGCAATACAATATGAAGCTGAAGCCCGATATTGATTCTTAGTTGTGTGGCTATTTTGATAATTGACTGCCTGATCTGATAAGCCGAGAAAGAATTATATGAACAAATACGCATCTAAAGTGGCTCTGCAAGTTGGCCAATAGCATGTGATGATTACAAACTTATGGTACACTTCATCATTAGATAGCGTGAATAGTGATGAAAATGATAATGCTCTTTAAATTCACTCAACATGACGAAAAGAATGTCTTTCATTTCTCTCCGTTCTTCTTCATGGAATTTTCAGCCCCTTTTCTCTGCTGCAGATAAAACATCTCCAAGGGCCGATTAACACGCCAGTATTTTTCATTGACCTGCTCCAGTGTCATACAGCCGCTGAGGACAGCGAAGTTTCCGGGAGATATTGCGATGTAGATGGCGTACTGCTTTTCTTCTGCAGGGCCTGAAACAATAAACAGCTATCAAACTTGGTTCAGGAGTCTCGTAATACTTTTAGGATTGATAATGACTGAAATTCTAGAAATGTATTACATTTGTGTATTAGCAGGGTTTCGAAAGTGGTCAAGTCTTACCGTTTTCTGCATTCTGAGCTTCTAGAGACAGACGGATAGCAAGATACTTGGACAAATGATCAACTGTAACAAAAGAATTCATTTAACATGATTAACAACAGACAATTTGAAATAAGTGTACAACAAAATAGACTGTGAAATATGGATGTGTATTATTACTGGTTTGTTTTGTAACACCACACAAATATTCCAACAATATGACTATACTTCTGTAAATAATCGAGTCTGACTGACTGACTGAGTTTGGTTTTACGCCGCTTTTAGCAATATTCCAGCAACATCACGGCGGGGGACACCAGAAATGGGCTTCACACATTGTGCCCATGTGGGGATTCGAACCCGGGTCTTGGGCGTGACGAGCCAACGCTTTAACCATTAGGCCACCCCACCGCCCAATCGAGTCTGAGCCAGGGAATCCACTAGTTGATATCATGAAGACCAAACAACACATTATGGACATGCTTTCACGCATCAACTACTGACTGACTGAGTTTGGTTTTATGCCGCTTTTAGCAATATTCCAGCAACATCACGGCGGGGGACACCAGAAATGGGCTTCACACATTGTGCCCATGTGGGATTCAACATGGTAAGCCTGCATCAACTAAGTCAGTAAGCCTGATCATCCAATTACCATAGTTGCCGCTTGCAACAAGCATGAGTTGGGGAAAACCTATACTAACCCGGATCTTGACATGAAAACGTCATTATTATTTACTGTTAATATTCCAGTATTATCACCAAAGTCATAACCTAACATACGCTAAACATTTTTTGTCATCCTAAATATTTCCACAATAGGCCTGTGGCTTGTGATAAATCACTCGGACCATGTCTGACGCTAATCGCAGTATTGTTCTAAATAATAAATGTAACACTTAATCATAGCTATTGTGCGTGTTGTAATTGATCTTTTCATAGGTATAAAAGATCTTAATCCATTTGTGTGAAAGGTCTCTCATTGCTGAGGTGATTGTAACTACTATTCTTTAACACACATGTGCAATGACATCCCTTTTTTCTAAGGGAGCACAGTTCTCGGAAAAATCTCAATTAACTTCCTCATGCTAGTCATAGGCAACAGGAAGAAATTCAGAATATGCATTCTATTAACTTTAAACATCAACCTATCCTACAGATTTTTACAGTTGTCTCAGCTGTGCATAATACACAGGCGAAGACGGTGAGGTAGCCTAGTGGTTAAAACCTTTGCTTGTCATGCCAAAGACCTGGGTTCGATTCGCACATGGGTACAATATGTGAAGCCCATTTCTGGTGTCCCCTGCCGTGATATTGCTGGAATATTGCTAAAAGCGGCTTAAAACCAAACTCACTCACTCACTATTACACAGGCATTTTTTAAATTTTCAAATACCTAGATGATGATTTGTTTTTAGGACATTATTGTGTCGTATGAGTTTGTTAGATGTTTCACAGGTGAGATTAGGGAGAAAACAACAGTTCTAACTCATAATACCATGGCAATATAAACACAACATTTGTGTGTTGTAATCAACATTAAGTACTACACAGACAACATTAAGTACTACACAGACTAATCTAAGAAGAAATCCCATCTTCATAACCATACCAGTGGCATTGGCAGTAGTTTTGATGTATCTGGTGTGCTCAGCAATATCCATATCGCCATCAACATCTTGAGGATGTGGTTTAAACACAAGTTCGATATCGCTAACACTGGGTTCCGGCACGATCATATCGGGGCTGGGTTGGCCCTGTTCTGACACACTGCCAATACTCCCTGTCTCTGCAGTGTCTATGCCTAGATTTCCCAAACCAATTCCAAGTGGGGGTTCACTTAATGAATTTTCACAACTTGACTCATCGGAATAGGTCTTCACTTTCTTCCTCGGTGTTGTTTCGTTTGATGTTGTTCCACATGTCGGTGTACTTGCCCCATCTAACTGTCGACTCAAGTCTCCCTCAGATGCATGTTTTCGGACTCTCTGGGCCCTATTCATTGCTTGTTGACGTAATCCTTCCTCGATGCTGCTCGTCAAGGCTGCTGTACTGTGGGTCTTATTCAACTTGGCCAACACTCGCTCTTGATGGGCCTCATATTCATCCCTGCTTGGGTAGATTTTGGAAATCAGTGCATCAAAATTGGGATCTGGACGTAGAGAACGTTTAGAAACAAGCTTCTTACGACACGTTGGGCATTCTTTATTTCCACTTCTTAAAGCTGTTATGATGCAGTCTTGGCAGAAACGATGTAAACACTCTTTGGTTGTCATCGTCGTTTTCAACATATCCAGACATATTGGACACATTAGCTCGCTGTGTAAGCTTCTCGGGGAGACGGCGATTTCTGTGTTGTCGGTAATTGCCTCCTGCGGCGTCCTATGCAGTTCATATAAGCTCAATTCCCAGGTTTTATTGGGAGCGTGAGCAACTTCGTTCGCCATTTTGGACAGTTGCGCTCCAACTATTGTTATCGGGGTCGTCTCATAATTATATTACTAATATTGAGATTATCTCCCCTTGTTCAAGCCACTTATTTCTACTGGTGTGGATTACAAACACTTTTACTGAGACAGAAGAGGGTTTTGCTTCTCGGAGAGATGCTTAACGTCAAATACAGTGACAAAACTATCAGTATGACAGAATGTAGCTGCCAGCCGCGTTGGGGTACTACAGTTTCTTACTATGCCAAGCCGTTTTCACATTTATTAAGAACTTAAAATTATATATATCGTCAATTCTGGCCGTTGCTGATATCTAAAATGAAACTAAAGATATCCTTAAAGAGTTTGAAGATATCTTTACAGCAAGTATTCATATCTATAATACAGATACCAGTAAAGAACGGCAAAATTATCTCTATTTTGAGATATCTTTAATTCATTTCAAGATATCACTAATATGCTTCATCACATTCTTAATTCATTTTGCGATATCAATAATTTTATTGCAGATGTCTATAATTATCTCTATTCAAGATATCTTCAATTCATTTCAAGATATCCTTAAAACAGTTCAGTTAGTACATGTGAAAACGACTTGCCATAGGACCGTATCGTTAGGGGGTCTTGCATGCAGGTTCAAATTGCGGCTCTCGGCGATACACACACCAGCTTTAAGTATGTGTAGTGTTAAATGTTTCATTATTTGTGTTATCCGACGACCTTGTAAAGTAACGTAGACAAATGGTTATATCAAACCCCAGTCACATTTCCAAACAACAAGTGTTTCCTGCCTGTCTGAGACAAGTGATACTCCCCCAGTTTCTACTTTTGAAAAACAAATGATTGTAACATTTACTCACTGGGCTATTGAGCGATGTTTCCAAACAACTTTCCATGTATGAGGGTACTCAAGACTGAGATTTATCCTCAGGAATAAAAGTATCTTATCTTTAAAAATACACATACAAAAAAATATATAATTTGATAAACCCAAAGGGACCTTGAACAACTTTAATTTCAGACTCTGGATGAGACAATCGAGTCTTGTCCAGTCATTCAAGATTTTATATTTATTCTGTAGGGACTGGGAGACGGGCTTGTAGATCACCAGTCCTGTTTCATAACTTGCATCCCTGGCAACAGTTGAGTGACTTCAATCAGAGACCATAAACCGGTATATGGTCTCTGCTTCAATACACCCCACTCAGACTAATTAGTCACCATTGTCGTTGACACCCTCGTTTATTTGAAATAAAATGAAAATAAAAATATATTGAAATTCGCTTCTGAATTATTTTGCATCGAAATAAACAATTTTGATGATTCAACAAAATCTGTTAGTTTTAAAAGAAGTTTTTTAAACAATGATTATTTTGTCGTGTAGTAAATCAACCACTTTGAGTCTTATACGTTCCCCGAAAGTGCGCTTGTTTACGAACACTGCCGGAGTTACCCGAAGCCTTTCAGTCTCCTTGCTGGTTGTCGCAAAACGCCGCCATGAACGAGAGCGACAAGCCTACAAACGACAGTTTAGCTGCCAGCCTGGTGGAAGGTTTGTTTGTAGCAGACGAAACTTTTGATATTTCATTAATTGCCTTTTGTCAGCTCCTAATTGTGACTTACATACTTCATTCATATCAGAAAACGCTAATATACTACCTGTTCTCCATTGCCCCAATTTCCATTTTGAAAAAGAACTGCGGCGAAGCTGATGTTCAGTGCTCGATTGCAGATAGGCCCAGGGACATGTAACATGTTGCTACTTTAGGCTGGCTTGCTCTTTGGAAACCAGAAAATTTCATTAACCTCCTTTGTGACACTATATGGTAACACCATTCGAAAAATAGGTGAACGTTACTATATGAAATATTTCGGGCAGCGAATATATAGGTTAGGATCTCGTGGTAATAAACAACCATCCCTCCTCTGGTCTGGCTGTAGCACTGGCAGTGTAGGGTTTCCAGAATGGGCCTCATGATTTGGAGTACAGTTGTTTTATTAACTGTATTCACTAGGGCTGCAACGTATACGCTATTTTATGATACATATCACGAATATTATGTAACGAATACGAATAATTATTCATGAATACAATATTGTAGTTAAGTCAAGTGATTGATGCACAAAGTGGAATGCCCATGTTGATAGTGTTAATTTGTCACAGCAATAACCAGTGATCTCATGACACTCAATTTGGTATGTAATAGTTATAGTTGACAGTATCATGTGCGGCCATGGCAAACGAACATAACGTGTGCTACTACATATAGTACATATAGTACATATTCCATTCTTGCATATCTCACTTTGAAAAAGGACATAATGGTTCAAGTAAAACACACTCCCTTAAAATATGCTTTAATATTTGGTTCTGGTGACCATGAATAACGCATTGAATTCATGAAGGGCTACAGTTTGATTCACCGAATATGTGAGTGAATTGTAACAGCCTCCATTGACCATCATTGTTGGTTATTGTGTTGATATAGTGTTGATGAAATAATTCATATGAGTATAGATTTCTTAATTTCCTGGAAAATTCCAGCCTATGGTAAATATCTAAAATGTATGCTTTCTAAATCAGAGAGAGCATTGATTTCAAGGTAAGAATTCAATAATATAATGGCTAGTGAATGGCTATACAACATGTTCATATGAATCACAGGTTCAATATCATGATCTCTTTCCATGTTTCAGGGTTTCGTGTCAAATTTTAAACAATGCCAATAATTAAGGCTAGTTATTGAAAACTTGTTTGTCCCATTATTTAAAGAGACTGAATTCCTATTTGAGAAGAAAAGAATATTTATGTACGGTACAAAATATCATTAACTGTCCATGGAGAAATCAATTCTTAATTGTATTAATCATCAAATTCTTTTATCATACTTTCATAATGTATTTATGATTCATCCTTCATTTTTTGTTGTAGGAACTGAAACAGACAATGACAGCGATGAAGACATTCATTACTGTAAGAAATGCAAAATGGTTTTCACCAATATTCAAGCATATTTGGAACACAAGATCCGCCACGATAATTTCAAGGTGACATATGCTCGATCCCACAAGGATCGTCGAATGGTGCTACCCAAGTTAGTCCAGAAGCCAAACAACACCACTCAACAGGATGGAACATCACAAACATCCATGGAGAATGGAGAAGAAGGAAATAATACAGAAGGAAATGAGGGGAAGGAAAATCAAACTCGAAAGAGAAGTAAGAACACATTCCATCTAGATATCCAGTCTATTGAAAAAGTGTGGTTGTAGATCTAATTATTTTAATTACCATTACACGGCATATATAAGAACACAGTGATTTAGTTCAATGAGGTAGCCAGTCCCAACTATACCTTGCACAAAAAGAAACATAGTTTTCAGATGTATACCTTATGTACACAAGTAATCAACAGGTCTTAACAAATTGTTACATTTGGCACCAGTCACTGACTCACTGTCACTGACTGAGGGGTGGTGGGGTAGCCTAATGGTTAAAGCGTTGGCTCGTCATGCAGAAGACCCGGGTTCGAATCCCCACATGGGTACAATGTGAGAAGCCCCTTTTCTGGTGTCCCCTGCCGTGATGTTGCTGGAATATTGCTAAAAGTGGCGTAAAACCAAACTCAGTCAGTCAGTCACTGACTGAGGTTCATCATTGCACACATGAAATAGATGAATGTCAATGTGAAGGTAACCTGTTCACAATATCTTGTATGGCCCCCATGATGAACCTTGAGAGAGATGGAAGAGCTGTGAAAATCTTACAAAATATCAACTGTGGAAGTAAAAACTCTGACCATGCTGATATGTTGACTGTAAAATGTAACACCTTAACAAATAAATGGCATTGTGTATTCATTGTAAAATAGACTTTGTAATTTTGTTGACTTGTTACAACATGAGTTTCCATTTGAACAAAAGCTACAATTACCATTTTTAGCTATAACATATTACAGTGCTGTTGTGATGATCAATCCTATTTTTTACCGTAGACATGTATGAGACTTTATCATTAATATTTATATTATGTCTGGTCTTCTGTCATTGTCACTTCATCAATTGACTTTACAAAGTGTATTTGCTTTCAGAACGAAAGAAACGTCAATCAGAAGTAGATGTTCAGCTTATTGCAGAAAGAAGTACATATATTTGTACCAGTTGTGATAAAAAATTTCACAGGTGAGAATGTGGGGAGTTTACCTTGGTCCGCCAATGTACTGGCAAAGTATTGTGAATCCTTTTGCTTATTACAGTTGGTGATTACTTTGTTTGAATCAAAACACAAAAACTAATCATTGAGTGAAGTAATTGTTTCGACGGTCTGAAACTGATTTTGTATCTTGAAGGTCACATGCAACCAAAACATGAAATATAATGAAAACACAATTATCACTTATTCATGACATATAATATACATTGCTGATTATGAAAAAACATAAAAACAAAATTATAAGCGTACAATCACAAATCAAAAGTGCAATACTGTGTACTTGGGTTTACTTCCCAAGAAACAAAGCAGCAGGGATACCGAACCCAGTCAGAGCGGGTGGGTGTGCACTCAAGTGTAACAGCTGGTTCATTTGCAGATGCCGCCCTCACGGCTCATTGTGTGTGTATATATAGAGATGTTGGGTTTTGTAAATACATGCTCATTTTTTGTGTATAACATTTTGCAATGAACAGGCATCATAACATGTCATGTGTACAAGTATCACACCTGCCTGTCTGTGTAATTACATGCGACAGAGACCGAAGTCGGGCCATAAATCAATGCGTTTTGTTTATGGTGTATAGCCTGATAGGCGTTAAGTTCAAATTGCATGTGGTCAGTGATCGAAGTTGTGTGGGCGGTGGGGTAGTCTAGTGGTTAAAGCGCTGGCTCGTCATGCCGAAGACCCGGGTTCGAATCCCCACATGGGTACAATGAGTGAAGCCCATTTCTGGTGTCCCCCGCCGTGATATTGCTGGAATATTGCTAAAAGCGGAGTAAAAACCAAACTCAGTCA